AACTTGCTTGGTTGCCGAGTTGAAATACCCGGACAGACGAACACACACATACACACACACAAACATGCACATGCATACTTACATACATACACATGCACAGACAGGGTCGTCCCAATGTGCGTTTTTGAAGTTTGCATATAGGCAAAAACGCATAATGACTAACAGTCGTGGTGGCCAGTCTCAATTCTTTTAGCTAGAAGCATCTGCTGGAAAGAACCTGCCACTGGCGAGAAAAACCCGTACGCGAACTGTGCAAAAAACGCATCCTCGCACCGACAGCCGGCGCGCTTTCGACTAGGTTTTTTATTTTTTGCAGTTCTGCAACTCCAATTGATATATTCCATACCAGTACACAAAAGCTGCGTTTATTTGCACATTGGAGTTCTGCGATCGCAGTGACATATCGAAGTCATGGCAATTTTACAGTCTCTGATAAGCTGTTGAGCAGATGAATTTACAACTCTTGATAAGCTGTTTAGCTTCACAGCTTCATATTTAACACTTTCATTTTCCATGCGGACAGGTCCGAGCCTCCTAAGAGCAAAACATTTTCTTGTCATTCTCTATAAAATTCCGCTGCAAGCTGTAAATGCTTACACATAGGAATATGCATGCGCTCATACGAGATGAGAAAATGCGCAAGCATAAGTTAAAGGACCTTTAGGAGCGAATTTGCTCAAAATGTTCTTCGATGGCTGAATATAACGTCGGTAGTATTTAATGCGTCAGCCAGCGTCTAACAACGCGGAGACTGTTACTGACTAATAATATTCACGATAAATCCCGTTCTCTCGATTTGGATAAACTGAAAAATTTGAATGAACCTGGGAGACAGATATGTGGCGCCACTCGTCGGCCTCAAATTGGCATCAGCTGGAAATGCCAAAAAAATGCCTAAGAAAGCCAACAGATATGGCGGAATTGCCATTAGCATTGTCGGCATGTAGCCAAAATCCTTCACACGCTTGCTCATAAAACTAATTAAACTGCCACCTGAAAATATGAAGTAACTGTAAGAAAATAACTCAATTTTTTCATTTCTTTTTTTCTTACTGCAAACTTAGAGTAAACCGATGCAAAATGATCAGTTCTCAGGCGTAAGTCATGATTTATGTACGTTTGGAAAACCACTTTCAGTAGTTTGGATTAATGCGGCAAAATAACTAAAGTTTTGACCCTTGAGTTTTTTTTCATTATTATCAAATCCCTTGACACTCCTGGAGTACTATCTCATTAATTCGCCAAAAGCACTTGAAAATTTGGAAATTAATCCGGTCATAAGAACTGGGAAAGGAGAGACTTCGAATGAAAAATCAAAAGTGCCAGCCCTTTTCTATTTGCA